AAAAAAGGGTCTAGGCCCGAAACATCAGCTTTCCTGCTCCTCTGATGCTGCTTGGCCTGCTGTGTTCATCCAGCTCTACACCTTGTTATCTCAGATTCTCCAGCATCTGCAGGTCCTACTATCTCAGCTGTTAATGGATAATGTCTTTTGGAATGCAGAAAGATTTGTAGTAGGGTGTGTGTTGGGACAATTCCTGACAAATTTAAATGACCTAGGTAGGTCTTCGTGAACAGGGCACAATATCAGGGAATTGATGGCAATGATGAGCTGGCACGGAGAGCAATTGAGTCCTTGGTCAAATCAGCCATGATGTTGTTGAATGCCAGGCAAGCTTGAGGAACCTACTCCCTTATTTTATGTTATTTGGTCAATCCTTCCAATAGGTAACACTTTACTTTAGTCACTTACCTGTAAACTGCAACTTTGCTAGCTCCAAAGGCACCAACCACTAGGTCTGTAAAAAGACGATATGTAATTGCATTAGTACCTGAGAAAAAATGGGAGATTATGATCTTATAGACTCTCTGACCTTAAGCAGTTTTTTTTTCTATTTGATCATGAGGTGCAGACGTTGCTGGCTAGACCAGCAATTACTTTCCAACCCTTAGTGCCCTTGTTAAGGTGTAAGTGAGCTACCTTTTGAACCACTGCAGTCCATGGTAGTAGGTACATCCTCAGTGCTGTGAGAAAGGGATTTCCTGCAGTGATATACTATATTCAAAGATGAAAAGGTGCAAAATTTTAACTGCAAGTAAATTCAGTAGATGAGCTAAATGTGGGAAGCCCTATGAAGTAATTGAGTTGGACAGCAGTGACAATGGGTAAGGTGGTCTGAGAGACATTTAATGCAATGTTTCCTCTAACTTCTGCCAACTGTGAGCGGTCTGCCTGTTGCACGATGTGGCCCTGTGAAAACTGCTGCATAGCAATACATACACACATCTTACTTGTTAGTCTCTTGGTTCCTAACCGGTACATTGAAGAAGATGACAACATAAAACTTTGAATGTCACAAAGGAATTTATGAGGAAGTATGAAGACTTCTTTGAAAATCCGATGAACAAAGTATTTTATAAATAAGACTGTTAAAAAATGTTAAATATGAGTTATGACTTCTAAGAGGAGAAAATTGTCCTTTAATAGCTAAAGATTATAAAATAGTGCTTGCTCTTAGTACTTTACATCAACCTCGAATATCACAGAGGAAGTAAATTCTGAAATAGTAGAAGCTGGGATGAGTGACTTTATGACTGTTAAAAGGATTTTTCGTTTTGCTAAGTTATTTAAACTAACAGAAGCGAGAACATCCAAGTCTGGTTGGAAGTACGCTGGGTTCCTAAAAGAGGCCAATGGAGAGGCCAATGATGAAGCCCTTACAAGTAGACTTCAGTATATTATTAAATGTCGACTTGCATAATGAGAAGATGAATATAGCACCTATTTTTATAAAGGCTGTAGAGTTAATTTTGGTAATTATAAGTGACTTTATCTAGGAAAAAATTAGAAATTTTAGTTAGTATCTAAATATCACATAACTAAATAAAGAGAAAATAGACTAAAATAGCCAACACAGATTTCAAAAATGGGAGATTTGCATTTATACAATGCCTTTAGCGACTGCAGGGTAATCCAAAATGCTTTACAGCCAATGCTTCTGAAGTGTAGTCACAGTTGAAATGTGGAAAATACAGCAACCGATTTGCACACAATAAGCTTCCACAAGCATCCATGCGATAATAACCGGATAATCTGTTTGCCTGATGTTGATTGACAAATTAAAGATAAAATAATTAGAAATAGGAGCAGGCAAATTTGATTTGGACCATGTCTTTCCTCATGCAGACATCCTCACATAGCGGGGAAAAGTCAACATGGACTAATTGGGCCAAATACACTGTTTTCATAATGTATTTCTAGCTCTTTTAAAAACAGTAGGAAACAAATTAACTAAATTAAAGCAAATTGCCAGCTCTTAAAGGGGCAATAGATGAAATGAGTTAGCTCTTTTAAAAGCAGTTAATTTAAATCAAATTATATTAAATAAGCCAAATCAAACCAAATTGAACCAGATTAAAAGCATGCTCAGCTCATATATGAAACACCGACAGAAATCAAGGGTGCAAATTTAAATTACAAAATTCAAATTCTGTCACAAGGAGGCTAATGAAATAGAATATTCTACAATAGCAGAAATATTGTTCCCAGGGAAATATGTCATTCAGACCTTACATCTTGGCAAGCTGATACGTATATCAACGTTCATCTCACGAATTCCATTGGAAATTCAGACACCAGAATAAGTGCCACTACATTATCAGACAATTAGCCAAGGTTAAGAAAACACTGTCTACACTGATAATAGTGCAACTACATGGTGTGGAAGGCTTAGTACTTAATGTTAAAGTTATGCTACAGTCAACTTTCCAATATAGGGGATGCCAAATAATACAAAACCTATACATACTTCATAAAAAAGAATTTTCACTGTTGAATTGGATTGATTTCACCTGCTGAAGGGGCAACACTCTGCAAGCTTGTGATTTCAAATAAACCCGTTGGACTATGACCTGGTGTCATGTGACTTCTGACCTTGTCCACCCCAGTCCAACACTGACACCTCCACATCATGAATAGGAAGATGTATCTACATGTCATTCTTAATCAAAAAGTGGAAGAGATTAAACAGCAGAAGCTAAGGAGCTCCTTTGAACAGGAGTATTCTGAATTATTTGAAGAGGTAAAGGAGTTGAATACATGATTACATTGAAGAAAGATGTTAGCTCCTGAATATAGCATTGGGTTGAAAATTAAATGTTAAGATTTGTGGCGGAGTTCAATCTGAAGCAGATGTAAAGTATTTGTGTAAGGTAGATTTTTCTTTAAGTATAATGGGATTCTGCTTTCCACTATTTTTGAAGTGATACCTCCTAATAAAACAGAAAAACAATACTTCTTTGTTACAGATGATGATCTATTTTACAAGGTCAGTCTCTAAAAGCTATTTTAACAGAATTAAATTTGGCTAATTTAATTCCACAGAGCCACATCTGGTTCTTGCATCTATTATTCAGTTATAAAGTCAAGGAAATCTGCTAATAAGAGACTAAAACAATTAAGCAAAACCCCCTAAAGCATTTCATGTAACAAGATTATTCCTGTTTAAGTGAGATTTTTTACAGCAGACCCAAAGAAAGGGAAAAGTAGAAGGAAGACAACACAGCTAATTTGAGTACTATATTCAATTACTGGTGGGGAAGTCTGTAAAAGTAATCTATTGTGCTTGAACACAATCTCATTTTTCTATTCCACAATGACTTTCTTGAAACTTGAATCCGATGTTTAAATTCTGACTTCCATGTCTTAAAAATAGCACAACTTGACCTGAGTAAATTTTAAAAGTCTGAAGTCATTTGATACATTACCATTTTACCAACAAGTAGAGAATACAGGCACTAATAACAATAAAATTTGCAAAAATAACTATTCCACAAAGCAAGACTTATTTGAAGGAAACACAAAGGTATAGTGCTGATATTGTCTTATTATCAAACCAAGCCACAAGTGCTAATGCATAAAGGATGCTTAATGGAATTATCTCTGAAGTAATGTCAATGATATCAGGCAGCTTGTGTCCACAAGTGACTGTTTAAAATCAATAAACTTCAAAAGCACTGCCTCACCTTCACTCCCATCATACTGTCTGTTCATATTTTTTATTATTTTTGTTCTTTCCCAAGTTTGTTGATGACACAAAACTCGAGAGGAATTGTTGTGAGGATGCAAGGAGGCTTCGAGTTGATTCAGACACATCGAGTGAGTGGTAAACACATTGCAGATGCAGTAATACATGGCTAAATGTGAAGTTATGTACTTTGATATGAAAACAGAAGTGTATTATTTAAATGGTGATATGTTGGGAAGTGCGGTTGTGCAAAGGGATCTGGATGTCCTTATATATCAAACAATGCAAGTACTGTAAGCAAACAGATGCTGCAAGCAATTAGGAAAGCAAGTGATATATTGGCCCTCACTGCAAAAAGATTGAGTTCAGAAGTAGGGATGTCATACTGCATTTAAACAGGATTTTAGTAAGACCACATCTGGAGCACTGTGTGTAGTTTTGGTCTCCCTACCTAAGAAATGATATACTTGCCATAGAGGAAGTGCAGCAAAAGTTCACTCAGCTGATATCTAACCTACGAGAGATTGGTTCCACTGGGCCTCTATTCACTAGTGTTCAAAAGAAAGACAGGTGACCCAATTGAAACTTATTAAATTCAAACAGGGCTGGACAGAATAGATGCGTGGAGGATGTTTCCCCTGGTTGGAGAGTCTAGAATTAGGGGTCACGGTCTAACGATAGGGGGTAGACTTTTAGAACTGAAGTGAGGACAAAGTTTTTCACTCCAAGGGTAGTGAACCTGTAGGATTCTTTAACACAGAAGGTTGTGGAGGTCAAGTCACTGAATATGTTCAAGAAAGAGATAGATACATTTTTCGATAATAAAGGCATCGAGGGGTATGGAGAGAAAGCAGAAATATGGCATCGAGGTAGAGGATCAACCATGATCAACTGAATGGTAAGGCAGGTTGAAAGGACCGAATCCTACTCCTGCTCCTATTTTCTATATTCACCTAGCTTTCTTTTACATGGAGTGCATCATAGCATGCATGCAACATAAAGTTTGTGCCATGAGAGTTTGCCTATTGAATATTAATTGTAGTGGCAGAACTGATTAACGTGGCAGAAGACCAATAATTGTTTAGTTGGCTGATGATTCAAACTTGTGATGTTAATTAGAGGACAATGTATACCGCTTGTCCAATAGAGTCATGTACTGTTCCCTTTCCTTCTCATTTGCTGCAGTGTTAATGCAAAATCCATAGTCACAAACGTAAACAGTGACAACCAGTGTTTAGATTGAGCTTTGTGTCAGAGGTTAACGCCATCAGACTGTATCTCTTCTTATTACCATTCAATTATCAAATTAGCACAGAATCAAATTGCCTTCTGTGGCTTTGAAGATTTCAGTTTCTCCAGCTCTACTGATTTTCTTTCTGCAGGGTCATACAGAGTCAGATTTGATTTTCATTTTCTGAAAAGTAATCCAGCAGTCTGCCAGATTAATGATAATGGTCAAATGGTCAATCCCTCATCAGGGATAATTTATTTCAAACAGCATAACACATTATAAGTTATGAAAGAGAAGTTACAGCAAATCAGCTGAGTTCTGTGTGTGCAGAATGTAGACCCACAGCAGGTTAACTGCCAGGCAGAGTCACAACATTGTATGTACGCAGCATATGGAGTCGTTAAAGTGAACTCTCCCAAATGCAGGTTATACATATTACAGAGTTGATCACCTGCGAGGTGATGCATTTTGGAAGATCAAATTCAGGTATGAATTATACAATAAATGGCAGAACCATTAGGAGCATTAACATACAGAGAGA